GGGGAACAGTGTGTAGGGACGGTGCCATACTCAATCCACTGACCTGGTGGCTGGTGGAGTTTAACTTGCAACCTTCCGGACACAAGTCCACTTCTTTAACCACCAAGCCACAACTGCCCGACAAAGAGTTTCAGATGTTGAACAAATTTTCAATTTTGGTTAGTGCCTTGGAGCGATGTGGTAACTGATGGTCATTCTGTTCTGCATCTTTTTATGAAGTTAAATTGAATAATGGCCTGTTGAGCAACGCAGTGCAACCCCATTCAATTGTGGCAAATTGTGGGTTAAGCTCAATTTTGATTTTTCAATAACCGCTGCATCTGAAGGTAGTTAAACCAATGAAGGAGTCCTGGGTTTTTCATACAATGGCATTAACTGTCTGAAAATAGCCTGAGAAAACTTGGAAAGTGAGCGTCATCACTTTGTCCAGCAGTGACATCACACTGGGACACACTACACAAGACGCTCCACACAACCGCAAACAACAGCGGACAATGTCTACCCTCCATAAGGCACAGAGGGAGACAGACCATTTCTGTGAGTCAAAGGGGATTATGGCACATGTAAATGAAGTACAGCTGCACAGCTCTGTCGTCCAGGTAGGTGCTGCCAACTGTCCTGATTCTCATTATGTAACAGGAACCAGGAAAGATAACTGCTACACTTTAAACCACACGCATCCTGCTCTGCCCTGCTCTGTTTCCTGCAGACAACTGAGGTAAGAGCAGGGCCGGACCCTGATGTTTATGCCACAGACTCAACGGTGGAGTCAGTGGTGAACACAGTACATCCTCTACGTGTTATAACCTCATCATCGCACCGCTGGCCTTCACCTTCAAATCCAGTGTTCCATGCTGACAGGGACGGGAGCGGACAGTGAGAGACGATTCACGGCAAAGGTCAAAGAGAGAAACATTTATTCATGACGCAGCTGCACATGGGCTGCACCTATTTTCACAGGTTTATTCCCGACAGGCTGCACAGATCTGTGGGAAACAATTCAGAGTATCAGCGCAGGAGGTGGACCAAAGGACACAGGGACGGTGGAGGTAGGGGGCCGGGGGGTTGGTCAGCTTTTACTTACTTTGTTAACACTGTGACAGACATAAGACGCCTCAGGTGTGTTGTTCAGAGACATGTATCAAAGGGTGTCCCTCAGCCCCTTCAGTAGGAATAGTTATGAAGAGGTTTCACCTCACGACAATAAATCTCGCAGCAGACGGGTTCCTCAGTGGGACTGAACACAGATCTATGACTGAGAGGAGACACGACTCAAACAAACCCAACTTCTAAAAAACTATGACTGAGAGGAGACGTGACTCAAACAAACCCAACTTCTAAAAAAATATATAAACTTTAATAATCCTTAATGATGTCACTGTCTGTTGGTTTTATAGATAAATGTATTGTAATGTAATAAAGAACATGGAGTAGAGTCGGAATGACTGTCATTCATCTCTCTGGAAGTTTCTTCCCCATGACCAGTGTTCCATCCAAGTTTTTATAGATCTACGTTCTGGACGGCTAGCGCTAGAGCAGACACGTACGTGTTGACTTATATAAGCAGGAGCCGGAAAGGTCCTCGGTACAAACACGGTTGCAGACAGCTGCTGTAGAGCCAAACCCTGCCTGGTTTTGGATGGTGAGAGTGAACATTGGGCAATTTTGAGTCATAATAATTCCATCATTTGGAGTTTCTTTTGTGGCGCTTTGGCCCAGAGGCAACGTCTCTGTCATTGGTGTGGGCAAGATCGAATCCCGGTTAGGTCAGTTGGTACCTTCCAGTGGACTCACCACCTGCAGGAAGGTTCGGAGGGTTGGTACGGCGCAGCGTGATTTGGGTGGTGGTCGTAGAGACTGCTGCCCCCGCGACCCAGTAACGGATAATCGGAAGAAGATGGATGGAGTTTCTTTTTGTTTACACTTTAAACCCTTTCTTTTTGAAAAATCATATTCATTGGACTGTCTCAGGTAAAACTCAGTTATCTCTTAGTAATACTGCTATAGGCCTAGACTGCTGGTGGATCTCCTGTACACTGAGCCTTTTCTCCCCCCAACTCTTCTAAAAAATGCACACATAAATAAAAAACTTGAACTCCTCTCTCTCCACTAGTCAGTCTCCTGCTTCTCTCTCTCTTCAACTGTCTTCATCTCGCAGCGTCCTCCAGAACGGTGTCTCCTTTTTAAAAAATAGTTAGCATCCAAACCAATACGACTGCAGTAGGGCGAGTCGATGACGATGTTTACGTAATTAAATGTCTGTGATTAAAAAACAACTACTTTTAAAGGAATGCCAAGAACAAGACAGAATAATTGATAATAAAAACACGACGTCTCTGAAGGAGTAAACAACTGACTCGCTTCTTAAAGGCTAAATCGAAAAGGCCTGCGTTAAGAAAAACATATTTTAATCACTCGCCTGCAGATAATCCTGTCATTTATCAAAGGCCCCAAAAGTCGACAATTTTTAAAAATGATCTCCAGATTCTGCGATTGTCCCTGTGTATGACAAATGCGCTGTCTTGCGCAGGGTGGGGTTTCAGATTCAAACCCCCAGCTGACTGAGAGCTGACGAGACTTTTCTTTGTTTAACAATTTGCTTTCAGAGAACTATGTCTTTTGTCTTTTCATCCTTCCTTTTCATTGGTTCATCGTTGACTGTCTCGCTCTTTCTAAGGAACTAAATGTTGTTTTTCGCTCAGTGCGACAGGCCCGGTTTAAAACACCGTGCTCCTGACACATTTGCGCCTCGGCCACACCGATGAAAGACGCACAGAGCAGCTCACACCTTCTTTAGCAGAGGAAAAATAAAAAACGACGCTGACTGGACGGAGCATGTACTGTACAGCACGGCCTCTGCTCTCTCAAGATGATCGATCTGTCCGTCCTCCCCTACTCCCCACACTTCTCTTTAATTGAGCTCTGGCACTGGCCTCGTCTCTCTGTCTGACTCTCACTCTCTCTGACCCGACACTGCTCGTGCTTCCCTGGCTTTACTGAAACAGTGAAACCTCAGAGCGACATCTGAAACCGAGACTTACATCCACCGCCTCTCCAGGGGGAACACTGTTCCACCCTGAAAGATCATTCTGGGCCCAGAGAGTGCAGAATACTTTCAGCTAGTCCACCAGCTCCAAATGTATGTGATGGATCGATAAAAGGTATCCCGGAGCAACGGATGAATCCAAAGAAGCTCACATAGTTCTTTGACTCACGTATAAATTAAGACGTTTTATAATTCTGGCAGCATTTTTTATTTTTGCTCTGACAATTTCAGGGAAATCTGTCAACAAGTAATTGGATTAGTCTGAGATTCCTGCTCGGAAACTTTGCTCTGCAGCGGAAGGACAATTGCTCATCCGGAATTTAACGGCAGCTCGTACAAACACTTCAGTTTTAAGAGAAACATATCACTGAAAATAGTCCTGGTTGTGGCACTGGTGACTCAGGGAGGCTGTCTGCTTCTTACAATGTTGAACCTGTTACAGCGTCTCTGACGCTCGCTCCAGATGTGACTCAGGACGCAAAAATGTCCTGTGAGTCAAGAACAAAGACAAACATATGGATAGCAACTGTGCACTCCTCCGAGGCCTTGTATTGATTAGTGAATTTACTATGAATCCAAGATATTCCTTTTGGGAATGAGGATGTACAAAACACTTAGGAATCGGCTGCCAGCACGGTTTTCACTGAGCCACCACAAACGTGCGGAAGGCTCAGCCAGCTTAACTCCGTAACACCAACAAATGACACAAGATCTTTATAATTAGCAAAAGGAGCAGCAACGAGGGAATCATGATCTCAGTCCCCACGGAACCGATGGCACCATAACCGACTATGAGCAGATTAGAAAATCACCGACTCGAGAAAAAATAAATAAAAAAAAGATCACTACACTTTGACAAGATAAGTCTGAGCCTGTAAGCAATAGCAGTCCGGCAACAAACTCCCTGAAATAATTACTCTCTCACAACATCCTAGTTGGAGAGAATGGTTCTAACTATGGCAAAGTAATTAATCAAACGAAAACCTCATTTCCAACAAAACACTAAACAGTCGAGTGGAAGCCAAGAAACTGTTGGGCCCGCCTGATTAGCAGTCTTTGGAGGATCGGCTGAATGCGCTGACAGAGGCTTTAATGTGAGCAATTATTATCTGGAGACATTACAGTCGCTGTTATTACATTAAATCAAAGAACAAACTGAAGCAGTCGAGGACTACAGAACTAATAATCACTCCGTTTTCAAAGCTAACAGCGGGGGTTAACGCCGACTGTCTTGTAAATCATGATGTACTTTCTTCATGATTTATACATTTACACGTTTGTAATCTACAGGCACCGCCGACGTCAGAGGCCATGTTACTGTTTGTTTAACATAGGATTATTAATGATGTATAGTTGAGGAACTGTGCGACATGAATCACGTCCTCGTGCTCTGCGTTATCGCAACCGTGAACACAATTACTTTTCAAAAAGGCGTGTACTTAACTACTTTTTGTTTACGTTTGTTTGTTTTTTTTAAGGACATAAGGTCCAGTTAAAATTCAGGAAATATAAAAAAAAAATATATAAATGTATTTTCTGGATTTTATACTTGTATATGCAAGATATTCGAAAAACAAGTTCGATGCCTTAGTGTGAGCTGTGTGATGGCTAACGCAAGAATGTTAGCTGTGTGTTAGCTGCGTGATGCTAACACAAGCTCGTTAGTCATGCGTTAGCTATGTGATGGCTAGCAAAATGTTGTTGGCTCTTTCAGAAATTTGATGGCTATCACAATCTTCTTAGTCATGTGTTAGCAAAGTGTTGGCTAACACAGGATAATTAGTTGTGTGCTAGCTGTGTGTTGGTTAGCAGAACTTTATTGGCTCTATTAGCAGCGTGATGGCTAACCCAAGCTTGTTAGCTGTCTGTTAGCCATCAGTTATTTTTGGTGTGTACAACTCTTTATATGGCAAGGCTACAACAAGAGGTTCAAGACGCACAGCTGAGAACTTACACGGTGTGAGCCGGCTGTCTGGTGGCTGCAGGTCGTGGGCTCTGAACCTTGGTGGTGCCCACGGCCTGTCTGTCAGAGGGCCTTCTCCGTGGTTGGTTCTTCTGAAAGGGGTTGGTGCCGGGCTGAACCCGTCTCAGGGTGCCTCCGTCGCGGATGTACACTTGCTCCGGAGTCACCTCTTCACAGCGGGCGCCCTGGAACCCCGAGCGACACACACAGGTATGGGGTCGGCTGCAGGAGCCACGGTTCTGGCAGGGGGGCTGGCAGTCAGCTGAAAAGAGAGCACAGATGGA